ACTTTTAAGGTGTACGGAGTGAGTTGGGATGGACACATGTTGTAAAAGCGACAAAGCTCCTCCGCCAAAGGAAAGATGGGAAGACCATAACCAATTAAAAAAGGATATTCATAGAACGAGCAATATCCCGGTCTATGGACATTCACATAATCCGTCCTCGCCGGGACCATCTCCACATGAGCAGGTATGCCGAACGACGTACGAAGGTCATCTAAGTCATCCTGCGTTAACTCAGAATTCTCCGAGGGCTGCGCGGGGGAATCCTTTTGGAAGTCTCTCCTAACAAGAAGTTGCTTCGGTAACACGTTGTCCACGGTAAGGGGGTGAGTTCCTCTTCTCCGTCTCCCTCATCACCGCCAGATGAAGGCGGTACATCGGACGTCGTATTATCAAGAGCCTTCAGATTATCATCCTTTCGGGGCTTTGCCATAATTTTCGTCCAGGAAACGGTGTATGACACAACGGAAAGTGTGATTTCTGAGAAACGGTGTGGTTTCGAAGAAAAGAAGTGCCTTCTTAGAAGGTCAGGAAATGCTTGCAAATGATCGAAAGGTGGATCAAGTTAAACCCTTCCCGTATTTATAGGGTTGGGTGGCGTTGAAATCGAAGAGGCGGAATTCAAACGGGCGCAGGAAACCGAGCATCAGAACACCTTTTGTGTTTCCTCGGGAAGACGCGCAATGATGACGCTTGCGTGTGATGACGTTACTTTGAGAAAGAAACCGCGCGTCAGCATTTCAATAAATTCAAATGTTCACTCGTTCCCTCTTATTCATGCGGCCGTCTTCAAGCATGGTCAAATTCTCCCAAAATAAGGTTCGCGGTTCCGTCCATCGGGGACGCACCTCGATGTGTCGCCGACGAACGGAGGGACTAACTGTATAGGGTCAAATTTTGCCCATTACGTCTCCACGTTGATAGGAACGACCAACGAATATACGCTAACCGAAGTGAGGGCACGACCTAAAGAATGTCGGCGTGAAGTGTCGGCGTGAAGTGTGTCATCGGTTCCGTCGCCTCTCTAAGGAACGCGACTAATCTTTGTATTATTTTATTATTTAAAGGAGGGTCTCCTATTATATAAAGGGGGATCCCAATGTTGTAAAGAGGGGGGGATTTTTATTGAACAAGCTCTCTATATCTCTCTTTTTCTCCTTCTCTCTCTCTCTCTGGAATATCAAATCTGTTGGAAGCTATAACAAACATAAAACACATATCTAGGTCTTATTATCTTCGATTACGATTGATCCTTGATTCATTTCGATTGTTTTTACTTATAAGGTATCTAGTATCTTTTGAGTCAAACAATCTACACATGACATATGCTTACGTCCATTATTACTCAAAATGATCGGATATGACAAAATTGATACTCCATATATTTAATTAAGATCGTTGTTCTTCTAAAACTTGGCACGTCATTGCATCCCCGATAATAAAAAGAACTTATGTTTTCATCCTAACAAATGACGACTTCTTAATGCATCTTTATCAATGACTATTCTATCCTATTCCAGTTCTCTTTTTGTCGAGATTGGATTAATGATGTTTAATATACCGCTTGTGTAGCTTATACTTTGTAAACCTACATAGGGTAAAAAATTGAAAAGAAAATATTGAATGGATGCTCGGGCATTGAGAACGAAGGACACTTTCAGAGGTGAAAGGCCATGGGCAACTTTCCTTTTCCAAAGGGTAACCATCAACTAATTAAATAGGAAAAAGACGAAACTGGTCAAGAACCAGCAACTTTGCCCTGGACGAAGATACTAAGGCTTAATAGGCCAACACAAAACTGTGCCTAATTAAGTTGTATGAAATGTCGTTTGAGGCTCTTCTCCTCCACAACAATAGCCACACACGTACCAATCATAAGCCTAACCAAAGTGCAATTGGCCTTTTGGCAATAATCCAATGCCCTTGCACCAGTTTGTGGGATCTCCTGAGCTTGTGCCTCTATTGCTGGACGGGAGATTTTTAAAAATAGCCAGATTTACAACTGGTCGTTCAAAAATAGCCCAATTTCAAAAGTAATCGAAATTTAGCCACTTTTTATGTAAAGATAAATCTGAGCGAAAACACTGTTCAAAACCCGGAAAATACTCCAGTATATTATGCTGGAGTTCCAGCATAAGTATACTTGAACTCCAGCATATTATACTGGAGTTCCAGGATAGTATGCTGGAACTCCAGCATAATATGATGGAGTTGCAGCATAAGTACACTAGAACTCCATCATAATATACTGGAGTTCCAACACGTATAATGGTCCAGTATAATATACTGGAGTTTGGAGCACCAGTAATCCAGTCTCCAGTATATTATACTGGAGCCAGCAAAGTATACCGGTCCAGCATAATATGCTGGAGTTCATACACAAGTGCACCGAACTCCAGTATATTATGCTGGACCGGTCTCTATTGCAGCAAAACGGTGGCTAATTTTCATTGACTTGGTAAACGGTGGCTATTTTTGATTGACCAGTCCGAAAACTGGCTATACCGTGCTATTTTTACCTGCTGGACTGCCCAGACTCGAGAAGACGTTGTTGGGATATACTATTAACCATGCGGTTTAGACATAGTATTGTATTTTATTCTTTATGGAACAATTATTTATTTAATTTATTCAATTCAATAAAGTACTATTTTAAATAGATCATTTGTTACATGTGTGTCCTTTTAGTTATGTAGTAGACAATTTAGTGTATGGAGTCTTAGCTCATGCACAGAAGATTAAATTGTTGGTTCTCATAATTAATAAACTATGTTCACAATCAAAGATATTGTTGGACAAAATATCTAGATGATTGTAACACAAGATTATAGTATAATTTGTCTTGATTATGGGAGTAGTTTTACCCCAACTTCTTGTGCTAGTATACTCAGTGTATATTGAACGGACCAAGTAGAGAAAAGATGTTTTGTACTGAATATATAAAATATTTTCTCTAATTATTATGATCAATGTAATTTGTTTATTGTTTTGATTTATCAAAAGGTACGACTCTATTCAGAGTTAGTGTATGCCTAATAGATTGGACAATAACGAACAACATTTGTGAATAATAATTATCCAATGCCCTTGCACCAGTTTGTAGAATCTGCTGAGCTTGTGCCTCTATTGCTGGACTGCCTGGACTCGAGAAGACGTAATGCGGAACTCGTGCGTCCAAAAATTAAAAAGAAAAGGGACTGAAAATTTTCTAGTAATTTATCTTCTTTAGCACACGTTAGCGGCATCTTCTTACCATCCAAGGGGTGTAGTAGGATAGTTGAGATCCATTAACTCTTAATCAAAAAATTTAAGCTCAAATGTTACATATATAGAAACTTTGTAGTTTACAGAGAGCGCTTTAACTTAATAAATGTATCCGGCACAAATTCAAATTAATATAAATTTAATTTAAATACCAAATGCCTACAACCAAGCAAAAAAAGAAGATCATGTGAGCTTGTGCGCCTCTTCCTAGACTCAAGAGGGCCTAAAGCTCATTGAAAGAAAAGAAACAGTAAACTTCAAGTACTTCATTTTGTATCAGCTTACCTCAAGTAATCCGGATGCTGTCGATTTTCAGTTTCTCCTAAAAGATTAAGTCCAAATATAATCTCTTGACCAATAAATCTTAATCATTAAAACTATTAGCCAATCTTTTAGAGTTTGTTTGGAAAGCCACGGGGTAATTGGAATTGGGGTAACTACTAGGGTAGTAATTACACAGCCTAGTAATTATACAGTTGTGTAATTACGACGACCTGTTTGTTTGTCATAGTGTAGAATTACAGTGTAATTACAAGTTTACTGTTTGGTTGCACAAGTGTAATTATACAGTTACATTAAATTTTAGATGAAGTAGTTATCAAACTTAAAAGGTAATTCCCTCTGTTCCAGTTTATGTGAACCTATTTCTTTTTTTTTTTGTCCGTTCGAAAAAGAATGACCTCTTTCTAAATTTGGAAGCAATTCAGGTTTAAATTTACAATTCTACCCTTAATGAGAAGCTTTTATAACCACACAAATACTCTAGGTCCCTTTTTGACTTGTTTAGGACCACAAATTTCAAAATTCTATATTTTTTCTTAAAGTCTGTGCTCAGTCAAACAAGTTCACATAAATAAGAACGGAGGGAGTAATATAATATATATATATATATATATGCCTATAAATATTTATAATTATAAATGATATTATATTTGGTATTTAAGTTGTATCTTTTTTCGTGAATATACATTAATTAGTAATCATATATTTATAACTAATATTTTAAAAATAATTTATATATATATATATTTTAAATTAATAAAATTTAGTTTAGATACTTACAAAAACTAAAAATATACGTTTTGTATGAGCATCATGGAATTCATGTTTGATAAAATAAATTAATATTTATAAATATAATGTCACAACATTATTCAAATGCTTCACAAAACTAATATATCAATTCTAACTAAGAAAATGAACAACATGCTATGTGAGTTAATACTACTAAAACAAGTAAATTGGAACCATGAATATAACACAATTTCAAAATTTAAAATAAAAAAAATTGTTTTTAACATATGTCAAATTCCAACGTAATAATAGTAAGTTCCACTACAACTTAATATTAGAAAACATAATAAGTTTATAACAACATTCAACAACGAAATTTCACTTTAATTGCATCACTCATTATATGACAGGTTTGTTAATGACTCATTATTTCTAATATTAGGAGGTGTAGTCTCAAAAATAGAATAATAAAAGAAATAAAAAATAAAATATAAGCAATTACATGAAATCACAAGAAGTAAAGGTAGAGAAATAAAAGATAAATAGTGTACAAAGAAAAATATATTTTAAACTTTCAAAAGAAATTAAAAAGTAAAAATAAAATTAAAAAATTAAAATAATAGAAATAAAAAGTTATAAAAAAATAAATTAAAAATAAAAATAAAAAGGAAAGAAACTAAAAAGCAATCTTGTAATTAGACAATGTAATTACCATCAATTCTCACCTTCCCTTGAGAAATAAAAAGTGTAATTACACCCTTCCAATTACACCCAATTCCATGCTGACTAAATAATTACTTGGCAAAACAAACATATCAAATTGTATAATTACGTTCAATTACACCCAAATTCATTTCCAAGGTAACTTTCCAACCATGGAATCACAAAATATACGGCCATTCAAATTAGGACTTTCCATCAGCTTCCATATAATATCTGGTCCGTTTTCTAGAATATATGAGCAGCATTTTATTTCTCAAGACGCACGAAACGAAGAATTTTCATTTCCTAGAAAAGAAAGAACACAAAGAGGTTAACTCTGTGTCTGTGCCGTCCGTCATTCTTTTAGAACCATAGGTCCCACTTCATATGACAAATGTAGTCCTGTTATGACATTTCAGATGCAGTAACCAAATTTTTTAGCAAATCTGCCTATTCATCTCTATCTATCCTTCTCCTCCTACTCCTATATATAGCAGACAACTATATCTCATCCCTAAACATATCCACACTCCATACCTTTTAAAGCCTTCTTTTGAGATAAGAAATATATTTAATAAAAAGAGCAAACGACAGCAATAGAACTTTTGCATTTGGATGGAGGCTGCTTTTCCCATGATTTATTTCCTTCTCTTTCTCTCAACTCTTCTCTTGTATCACGTACCAAAGAAACAAAAAGGAAAAGACATACAAAAAGCAAAGTTGCCTCCTGGTACAATGGGATGGCCTTATATAGGGGAAACTCTCCGAATGTACTCTGAAGACCCAAATGTCTTCTTTGCTAATAAACAAAAGAGGTTCGATCGACTACAACATTAATTTTACTATTCCAATTTGTTAAAACTTTGCTAATTTACATGAAAAAAACAGTGCAGTCATTGTGTTTGAGATTATTTGCAGATATGGGGATATATTCAAAACACGCATTCTTGGATGCCCTTGTGTTATGGTAGCTAGCCCCGAAGGTGCAAGATTCGTGCTGGTTACTAATGCTCACTTATTCAAACCGACGTACCCAAAGAGCAAAGAGAGAATGATTGGCCCTTCTGCTTTGTTCTTTCACCAAGGGAACTACCATTCTCGACTAAGGAAGATGGTTCAGAACTCGTTATCTCCTGAGGCTCTTCGAAATCTAGTTCAACACATCGAGGCCCTAGCTATTTGTTCACTGGAATCATGGGCAACAAAAGAGCAAGTAATCAACACATTCCACGAGATGAAGAAGGTTAGCTAGCTAGTTTCATTACTTGTTGTTTTATTTCAATTGCTCATCACCATAAATTTATGTGATTTTCATGGGTATATATGTTACGTACAGTTGTCATTTGAAGTTGGCATTCTTGCTATCTTTGGTCAATTGGACACAAAGCGCAAAGAGGAGCTCATGGAGAACTATTGCATAGTAAATAAGGGATACAATTCTTTCCCTACAAACTTACCAGGAACCGCATATTACAAAGCTACAAAGGTAATACGTAAGCTTCCACCGCTAGCTGTTGATTTCACTCCCTCAACATTACAACTTAATATAGTATTATAATGGAATTACTTTTTGTTGTTAAATTAAACTAGGCAAGGAGAAAGCTTTATGAGATAATTAGTGAAATAATTTGTGAAAGGAAGGAGAAGAAAACAGTAGAGAAGGATCTCTTGGGTCGTCTATTAAATTTCAAAGATGAAAAGGGACATACTTTAATGGAAGATCAAATTGCCGACAATATCATTGGTGTACTCTTTGCTGCGCAAGATACAACAGCTACTGCTCTAACTTGGATTCTCAAATACCTTCATGACGAACACAAAATTTTACAAGCAGTTAAGGTATTATATATTGTTTCATACTCCTACTGTTCCCTAGCTAGTTTTGTTTCTATAATGACTCGTATATAAATCCAGATATTATACTAATCCTTTTCCTTTTAAGTGCAGGTTGAACAGATAGCAATTTATGAGTGTAATGAAGAAGGAAAGAAGCCCTTGACATGGATTCAAACTAGAAATATGCCATTTACACACCGGGTAATTACTATTTACAACTTGGGAATATGCATGTATTCCACACCTTCAAGAAATTAAAGAAAATCCCTCTCATTAGCTGGACAACTGCAGGTCATTTTAGAGAGTTTAAGAATGTCAAGCATTATATCTTTCACCTTTAGAGAAGCCGTGACAGACGTATTTTACGACGGTAAGGTCTCGAACATTCATTCATACTATATATATAGAAGGTATATTCCACATCGCTACTGCCCTAAACATGAGGTTAATTCCCAACTTTTAACTGCAGGATACTTAATTCCAAAAGGTTGGAAGGTCATGCCATTATTCAGAAACATCCATCATAATCCAGACTTTTTTGCTGACCCTTGGGATTTTGATCCTTCCAGATTTGACGTAAGTTATCACTGATTAGCAAAGTATTTTTCTAATTCTGTACTTCTCTTATAATAATGTTTACCTGCTCCTTTTTCTCACTCTTTAACTCTTTTTTCGTGGTGGTGGATGCATGTTTACAGGCTGCTCCAAAACCCAATACCTATATGCCATTTGGCAATGGAGCCCATGCTTGTCCAGGGAATGAACTTGCAAAACTGCTCATGCTGATTTTAATCCATCATCTAGTCACCAACTATAGGTATGATAATGATATCATATTCCTCCGGGGCATCTTCATATATACTCAATTTTGGGCCACCATTAAAGCTATAGCCGTATTGCTCAAAAAGTTATAAAGTGTACCCGTTCGGATTTGAAATAGTTTAATCTCTTGAATGTAATTTGAGAAATCAAATCTGAAGTTCATCTATCTTTTAGATGCAACTTTAGAAATTCGAATCTGAAGTGGTTCAACTTCAGAAATCAAATATGAAGTTCTTCTATCTTTAAATGCAACTTCTGAAATTCGAATCTTAAGTAGTTCAATCTATTGAATGCAACTACAGATTTCTAATCTTAAGTTTTGAAACATAAACTTGTTCTTCCAATTTCAACAGTCCAATAGAAGATTCAAGGCCCAAATCTACTATAAATGAGCTCAAATTTGAAACATAACTTTCAAATATCATAAGAAAAAATCTCAATCATCAAATTGTCAAAACAATAACGAATTTAACAACCCCATTTTACAATTAAGAAGAAGAAGAAGAAGAAGAAGAAGAAGGAGAAGAAGAAGAAGAAGAAGAAGGAGGAGAAGAAGAAGAAACTCTAAGTACAAAGAAAAGAAAACAATAGTCAAGGAAAAGAGAAAAGTGTATGTAATTGAAGTTATCCAAAAATTGAGTATTAGTTAATCTTTTTTTTTTAAAATGTAGATACAAATTCACTGGTGACTCAAAAGTGGATGCCACATGGAAATTTTGGTATTCCTCTAGAGTGCAAGTTATATGCTTAATTTTTTTATTTTTTCCCATCATGTTATATGCTTAATTTGACACTTCCAAAATTCATATAGGACAATTAAAATTCTTGAACACTTGGGTGCCACAAAATCCCCCAGGACTTGTCAAACGTAGAAAAGATTTTTTTTTTTCTATTCCCATTCTCATTAAGATTTTAATGTGATCATACCGAAAATTTCTTTAGAAGAATCATAATACCTTGCATATGCAGCTCATGAAAGTGTGTTAAAATCTGTATTCTAATGTCATTTCTCATGCTTTAACAATGGCAGGTGGGAAGTCATAGGTTCTCAGGGCGTGATACAGTATAGCCCGTTTCCGGTACCTCAACATGGACTCCCAGCCAGGTTCTGGAAGGAAAACAAAATAAATTAATAGCAATGAGAATAACGGAAAAGCAGAAGATATCTCCTGACCTAGTTTCCAGTTTCAAGTGAAACTCGACCCAGCATCTTTTTTTATCCTGGGGCCTATCTCACTATTCATTTAGGCAAAATTATACTCTGTAATTATTGATTGTAATAAGAGGCAGCAGGAGGAGAGAGTTTTACCCAAAGGATGTAATATCATCTCCACTTCTGTTTCAATGGGTAATATAACTAGATTAATAGTATATCATAAACTCTCTATGTGCTCCATTTGGTAAAATGATATACAGAATGGTTCAAACTTAATAGGAAAGTGACACTATAGATGCAGTTTACCAGCCAAAAACAAATGATGCTGAATGCAACATCTCTTTACGCATGGCACTGAAGCACCTTTTACGATCACGTGAAGATCAGCATCAATGGCCTCAAAACATTCATGTGTCCAAGTTGCTTGAGTGAGTGGCTATAAAAGAAAAAGGAAATTCCCTGAGATAAAGGGAAACCTAAAGATTGCAAATAGTTAGTTAATGCACATCATGAAGGGTCCCATGAGACAATTTGATACGACAATAACCATCAATTGTTCATTGATCCTGAACCTATTATGGTCTGATTGGCTACACTCGTGGGAGATCTTTTTATTCACACTCAATCGAGCAAATGGAGGCATACACATTTAAAGCGCACACCATCTTTTTCAGCACGACCACGTTTAATCTGGATTATTCCAACAGAAATGTACCTCAATGATAGATCTATCATTTTGCCATACCCCAGCTGGATGGTTCTGACCTGTATCACCTAATAATTTGATAAGTGACACCAATTACACAAGGAGAACAGAATAACAATAAAATTAAAAAATCAGTTAAAGAACCATGAAATGAGGGCAGCCGCAGCATAAGACAATAGAAATATGTCAATAAGTATGTCACAAATATTTAAAAGACAAACTATAACGGGTCGTTCGGTTTGAATACGGCTTATGCTGGGATAAGTTATGTTGGGATTAGTTATCCCGGTATTGATTTTATCCACTGTATGGTATGTTGTATTAAAAATGACAATTGCATAATTTCTAAGAAGAAGGTATAAGTTATCCCGGCACTAATTACTCCCCCCCACAAGGTATAAGTTATCGCGGTACTAATTTTAATCCTGAAATAACTTATAACAGGTTTGCTAAGAAAACAAATTATTAAGGTGGTATTAAAATTTTATACCATCACTACATCTATTTATACCTCATACCAAACGACCCCAGATACAAAGAATTCCAAGTCCGAGGAGTAGTATTTCAGCATGTGGGTGTCTCAATTCTGAGAATTTCATGAATTATCAACGAAAGTATTGCATATCAAGGCTCCTTGGTATGACGTAAAATCTTTAATACGTACAAATTCTGTATTTGAGTGCTTGAAGATACTTTTCTCAACCAAAACAAAAAAGTGCTCTATACCAAATGGATAAAAACGATTTATAACAGGGTAAGTCATCTTTAGTTAACAAACCTCTCTACTCCTACTCTACTTTGCAACATTGCAACATGTAGACATTATTTACTCTTTACTACTAACAAGTAACACTACTAGAATTCCGGAAAAAAACGACCAAACTTTAGCGACCAAAGTTGGTCTGTCAAGAAAAGGACCAATGTTGGTCTCTAAATTGGAGAAAATAATAAAATAATTATTTTAAATACATTAGCGACCAAAGTTGGTCGCTATTTGGTTAATAATTTCGTCAAAATGTTGACCGGACTGGTCAGACTTGCTTGGTCAAAGAAATACTGAGATTAGCGACTAACGTTGGTCGCTATTGGAGGACCCACTTATCAAATTTTAATAATTATAATATTATTTAAAAAAATTATAAAATATAAATAAATATAATTTAAAATGAGCGACCAAAGTTGGTCGCTAATTAAAGGGTAAGTAGATAGAGACCAACTTTGGTCGCTAATATGGGACCCTGTTATAAGATTTTAATAATTATATTATTATTTAAAAAAATTATAAAATATAAATAAATATAATTCAAAGTTAGCGACCACAGTTGGTCGCTTATAAAATGGAGACCAACTTTGGTCGCTAATATGGGACCCGTTTAACAATTATATTATTATTTTAAATATTATATAAAATATGAATAAATCTGATTTAAATTTAGCGACCAGCTTTGGTCGCTAATTTAAATTTAAGTATAATTAGCGACCAAAGTTGGTCTCTTTTCAGGTCAACAATGGTCAAAATTGAAAATCACTTTTGTATTTACTATCTAAATAATATAAATGTAAGCCGTTAACACTTTTGTAACACAAGGGATGAATAGACTAAAATATACTCTAACATGCTATGCACTAAGTATAAGCGTATTAGGTAATATTATATCAATATAGCTTATATATATATGTAATATATATACTTACGCTGTACTATGCACTAAGTATAAGCGTATTAGGTAATATTACATCGAATATGGCTTATATATATGTAATATATATACTTACGCTGTACTATGCACTAAGTATAAGCGTATTAGGTAATATTATATCGAAAATGGCTTATATATATGGCTTATATATACTTACGCTGTACTATGCACTAAGTATAAGCGTATTAGGTAATATTACATCGAATATGGCTTATATATATGTAATATAAATAGTTACGCTGTATTATGCTGTATAAGCGTATTAGGTAATGATATATCGAATATGGCTTATATATATGTAATATATATACTTACGCTGTACTATGCACTAAGTATAAGCGTATTAGGTAATATTATATCGAATATGGCTTATATATATGTAATATATATAGTTACGCTGTACTATGCACTAAGTATAAGCGTATTAGGTAATATTATATCGAAAATGGCCTATATATATGGCTTATATATATGTAATATATATATATATATATATATAATATTAAATTGAATTAAAAGTAATTTAATTTTTTTTAGATATAGCGACCAATGTTGATCGCTATTCTGGTCAAATGGTCAGAACTTAGCGACCAATGTTGGTCACTATTTAGGTCAAAATAGTCAATACATTTTGGCTACCAAAAATAGCGACCAAGGTTGGTCGCTTTCTGTAAATACAATAGCTAAAAAACGGGTTTTCCCTCATATTCTCTTATTTTTTAATCTCTCTTCTCTCTCTCACACCCAAACCCCCCATCCCCTTCCATCTCCCTCCATCGACGCCGCCGCCCCCCTCCACCCTCCACCCGCCGGAGGCAGCACCAGCTCCACCGCCAGTGTCCTCCACTGTCCAGGTAGGTTTCTCTCTCCTTTCCTTATTTTTTTCGAAATACACAGATTTATTTTAATTCTTTGTAGTTTGATTTGCCAAAATTAATTGTTCTTAGCTAAATTAAATCTAGGATAGTTATTAGTAGCTAATATAATTAGTTTTACCTACTTATTTGGGGAAAAATGTGTTGAAGAGAAGAAACCCTAAATTTTTAGGGTTTATGTTAAGTCTTGTTATGGTTGGGTCATATTAAAATTTAGTTCTTGTGAGGATTAGAATCTAGATCTGATTATCTTGATATTTATTTTATTTCATTGTTTGACTCATGTAGATTTTCCTAAATATAACTTTTCTACTTAATTAAATGATAGATAATTAATAAATTTATCTTTGAAAGTTAGGAGTTATTAATTTGAGAATACACCCCTTATATTTATAAATAAAACACTTAACCCATTACATTATTGGGCATATTACACATATATAACTACATACTTAAGCTTAGATTGAAGTATCTTGGCATACTCATATCCTCATTTCGGAAAAACCTAATTTTCACAAAGAACAATTAGAAGATTTATCTAGATTGGTCAGCATGGTAATAGTATAAAACTATTCATACTATACTGATTGTTTATGAATTGAAATTTTAGGATATGACTTGAACTTTTGTGGATATGAGTTGAACCTTTAGGATATGAATTGGACTTTTAGTTTATGAATTGAGATTTTGGTTTATGTATTGGAATTTTAGTTTATAAATTGAAATTTTAGGATATGACTTGAACTTTTGTGGATATGAGTTGAACCTTTAGGATATGAATTGAAATTTTGGTTTAGGTATTGGAATTTTAGTTTATAAATTGAAATTTAGGATATGACTTGAACTTTTGTGGATATGAGTTGAACCTTTAGGATATGAATTGGACTTTTAGTTTATGAATTGAGATTTTGGTTTATGTATTGCAATTTTAGTATATAAATTGAAATTTTAGGATATGACTTGAACTTTTGTGGATATGAGTTGAACCTTTCGGATATGAATTGAAATTTTGGTTTATGTATTGGAATTTTAGTTTATAAATTAAAATTTTAGGATATGACTTGAACTTTTGTGGATATGAGTTGAACCTTTAGAATATGAATTGAATCTTTAGGATATGAATTGAAATTTTGGTTTATATATAGGAATTTTAGTTTATAAATTAAAATTTTAGGATATGACTTGAACTTTTGTGGATATGAGTTGAACCTTTAG